GCGGAGGTTGCCCCTGTTAAGTGACTAGGAATAATTAAAAGAGCATGGGCCAAAGCCCAAGGAAAGTAGGTCGGACCGGCCAAAGATTCGAACAAACTCCACGAAAGAAAATGTCTAAGTAAAGTTGCAAATGCAACACTTGTAGTGGTTAAGTTACTGAGGCACTTTGCCTTAGCGCCACCATTCCCAATATTGTAGGTTTTGCCACCATCTGAAGTTGCTGAGGGAAAGACTTGCGACAACCAAGTTGCAAAGGCACTTTATCTCAGCGCCGCCATTTCAAATATCATCGGTACTCTCGTCATTCTAAGTATTGTTGGTACCACAACCATCTGGAGTTACTGAGGGAAAGAGAAAACTGAAGCAACTAAGTTGCAGAGGTAACACTTGTAGCGATCAAGTTGCTGAGGCACTTTGCCTCAGTGCTACCATTCCCAATATTTCCGGTTCTATCGCCATTTGAAATTGTTGAGAGAAAGGGAAAACCAAAGCAACTAAGTTGCAGAGGCAACACTTGCAGCAGTCAAGTTGCTGAGGCACTTTGCCTCAGTGCCACAATTCCCAATATTGTCGATTCCACCGCCATGTGAAGTTGTTGAGGTTGAGAGAAAGAGAAAGTCGAAGCAACTAAGTTGCAGAGGCAACACTTGCAGCGACCAAGTTATTGAGGCATTTTGTTGGTGTCGCCATCTGAACTTGCCGCGGGAAATGATTGTCGCAGTAACTACAGCCACCACAACTAACTTGCAGAGGAAACGTCCCACCAAGGTGATAGCAGCCTTTAGGAGAAGTTTTCCCTCCATAAGTAGAGGCCAATGCTTGGTGCTGATAGCAGGCCCCGAGGCATTATTGGCCTAGGGCTAATAGTAGGTCTCCTCTCCAAAGTCGTTTCTAACTCGGCGCTGATAGCACGCCCAAAACTCACTAGCTTGGCGCTGATAGCAAGCCCTAAGGCTTACTAGTTACAGTCGATAGTAGGCCCAAAGACACCAGTATACCGCGGTGATCCCGAAAAGATTGGAGCAGGGTAGCACGAGTATAAGGGACTCCCTTTCCATTACCCAGGTCATGGACTTGCCTTAGTCGCATAAGCAAGACTAATGAAGGCCCCTTGGGCTTAGTACTAAGGCACAACATGGCTGATAGCAAGCTTGGTTGTGGCCTTCGTCCTAGGAAATTGGGGAGTTTGTGATTAGGTGGCTGAAGGTGAAGGCTTCGTTGAGGTGAACACAAAAACATGGTTGATAGTAGGCTATAAAGTCCTGAGAATGCATGTAATTGCTAAATAGAACTGAGAAGGCAAGTGCAGTAACAAGGTTTACCGCTGCAAGTGTACTTGCTGAGATTTGAGCTAAGAAGGCAAGTCTAGCGGCAAGCACTCCGGCCGCAACTGCACTTGTTGAGGCTCAAAAAATATTTGCAACGCCAAACATTCCCTCTGCAACTACACTTGCTGAAGCTCAAAAAGGTAGTTGCGGAGGCAAGCAGATAGTACACAGTACATCCAGAGGGACGCGTACCACCTTCAGCCTGGTGGCTCAAGGCAGAATATTCTATGTGATCCTTAGGGACACCTGTCTTCTCTCTGTTTGGCTACTTGGTGTCCTCTTGGTACCAAGAAAAAGCTTATAAATAGGACCCAATTTCCCAATGTCCAAAAGAAGAATTTTAGAGATTTGAGGGAGATGCTACCCATTTGTACATTGCCACACATTTCTTCTTAAGTTGCTTGCTTCACCCTCACCTAGCTACCAATTTTCCAATCATTCCACCATTATTGGACCATTAACATAGTTTTACCTCTCTAATCACTGCTCAGATTCAACCCTTTCCCTGCAAATATACATTTTATTTAGTATGCACATTTTCACATTTTTTTTCCCTTTTAGGTGCTCTGCCTTTTTTCATCACATCCAGTAATTGCACATCTAATAATTGTTAAATATCTTTTTTTTCTCATCAATTTGTCTAAAGTTGCTAAACAATTTTAAACTGTCAATCAATCTTCAAATCATCTAAACATTTAAATGTAAATTATAAATGTAATAATATGTTTGCATCTACCACTAATATATACATCATTTCCAATACAGTGGTTTGGTGAAGTTAGTTGAGATTCTAGACCAACAAAAAGGAGATGGGATAACTAAAGCTTTGAGGTTGGGATGACTCAATTATTGAAGAGGTTGACCCGTTTAAGATTAATTCATTTCCGAGTCACTCCGCAGCATTATTAGCTTGTTAGACTCCAAAAACCCACTTCCAATGGGTGAATGATGCTGACTAAAAAAAGCTATCATGAGATATGTATCACTAAAGATATTTGTTGTTGGAATAAAGTCCTACGGTTGTTGTTGAATCAAATCACCTACAAAGGTTTTAAAATTAGAGTTTGATTCCTCAAGTTAGTTATTAAATTTGAGAGAAAAATTGGGCTTAGTGGTCTATTTTGGACATTTTCTGTCTAAATTGTTCACTTTTTAAAATTCATTGAATAGAATATTTATATAAAAAACCAGAATGATCGAATATCTATAATTATATGTTTGAATCACATTTATCTTAAAAAATAGATAACAATTATAATTTCAAGAATAGTCAATTATTTTTTGTAATACAAATTTAGTTTCAATTTTCTGAATTTAATTTTCTGAAAATTGAGTTTTTAAATTTTTCTTTTTTTTTTGTTTTTAGTGAATATTTTTAAAATTTTAAACAATTTTTTTTACTTTTTTAGATGTACCTTACTTAAATATATTTAAAAAGTAAAATATCAATAAAAAAATATTTTAAAAATCAATAAATACACAAGAATATGAAACATGTACTGAATTTTTATTTTATTTTATTTTTGTATTTTTGATATTTAGTGAATTTTTTTAATATTTTTTTTTCACAAATATTATACTTTTCAAGTATATTCATATTAGGTGTATCTAAAAATTAAAAAAGTCACTTAAAATATTTTTAAAAATCAGTAAAAACACGAAAAACAAAAAAAATTAATTTTTTAAAAAGTGAATCCTGAGTTTTGAAACCAAACAAACTAAAACATATAGATATTGATGTCCGATTATCTTATTTTTTGTATGAATATTCTATTTAATGAATCTTAAAATATGAACGATTCAGATTACCGAAATCGATCCCAAAATGAACTAACTAAGCCCAAATCACTCTCTCAAGTTGAATGACCAATTTAAAAAATCCAAACCCTTAAAAATTAATTAATTTAAAGGGTTGATGAGTTTTTAAATATATATATATACTTAAATTTATTATGAGTAATTTTTTTTAGTGTTACAATTCTTATAATTAACCTTATCTAGTCGAATTATAGTCAAATTCAAAAAAATACTGAGTTTGAATTTATTTGAGCTTGATTTATTTATTTATTTTTTAGAAAAGGAAGGTTGATTTATTTTTAAAATATAAAAATTTAATTAGTAAATTTTTAATAAACTATATACAAATTAAACTTAACTTGGTTGCTTTTACAGTTCTTCTACTTCCTTCTAAATTTTCTTGTTCCTATTCTAAAAGTAAAAAATAAGAAAGCTGACACGAAAAAGTCATTTAATTTGTTTTCACAAACTACTTTTAACAATAGGGTTTGGTTATGGTGTGCAACTTACACCTTACACCTTATACCTTACACTTACACCTTACACTTACACCTTTTATAAAAAATTAAACCTTACACTTACACCTTTTTTGAGGTTGCACACCATGTGCAACCCACTTACACCTTACACCTTACACTTACACCTTATACTTATACTTACACCTTATACTTACACTTTTTGTGTAAGTGGCACATGGTGTGCACTTGCACACTTAAGAAAACTCCTTAACAATATTATGAAAGCAATTCATATTTTAAATTAAATGGAAATATTTCAAATATTTGTTAAGCTTTTTATTTTGGGAAGTTGCACGGATCAGAACTAATACAGATAGATATTAATGCTTGAGACCCCAAAATGAGTGATCTCCAAAACCTCTAATTGATGTGGACAAGGCATGTATGTATGTATGTTTTTTTTTTTTTTTTTTGTTTCTCTCTCCCTCACAGGTGCATAGGGGTCGTGGAGTTGGATTTTGTGAGAGTCTGTATCAAAACCGAGTATAGATTAGATAATGTAAAGATACAAATAAACGGAATAAAATATATATTTCAATGCAAAAAAATATAATATTATTTTGTCATCTATATAATTAACAAATTAATAATTAAAAATAAGACAAGTGTTACGTAAATTAATTTTTTTTTAAAAATCCAATATAAGCATGCTAAATTTATAAGATTTACTATATTTATCAAATCCTTAGGAGATGTTAGTGTAATTTTTTTTTTTTACTAAGACAACAACTATATGTTAGCATTTAAATTATAACGCATGTCAATGTCTCTCCATAAACTTGAACTTGAAACCTCACTCGCCTTGGCATGTAAGTACTCTCTCCACAACCGCTTGAGCGATTTCCCGGAATTGATGTCTATGTAATTTAGTCTTTTATATTTTGCACAATAATAAAAACCATATAATTTAAACTTTTGAATTTTGAATATTTTCAAAGAGGAAAACCAAAAGATCATGTCCAGAGTTACGGTATTTACAATTCACATCAATTTGGTTTCAATTTCATAATTAATTTTAAAAAAAAATATTGAAAAAATTAATTTCATAAAAATAAACACCAATAAGGTATTTTAAAATTATTTTCACCTCAAAAAGAGTAAAATTATATGAAAATAATAAGTGTATTTTATTTATTATTATTTTTCACTAAATTAGCTTTCAATTTTTTTTTTTGAAAAAATTACAAGTCAGTGTATGTTTTAAAAAATAATTTTAAATTGATGGTAAAGGAAACTTTATCAATCATAAAATTGCAAATATTTTGTGAAGTTTCAACTGATTTACAATTTTTTCATTTCTTTCCACCCCCCCCCCCATCTTTGTCGTAAATTTTTCTGACCCCATTACAATTACAAATTACAATTCAAAGTTATGTTTTTATTAAATTTTTTTTTTTACATTAAATTACAATGGAAAGTAGAAACAGAGAAACATTATTAGAATCAATAAGAGAACTCCAAACGTTGTACACGATCTCTAAGAATTCCATTGTACAAAGCCATCCGATTCCCAGGAATTCCACGACGGCAATTCCTCTGAATTCCTGAGGTTTTCTTGTTGCGCTTCTTTCTGTATTCCTCTCCATTCCCTGTTTGGTCCTTCACACTCTCTGCAAATTGAACTCTCTTCTTCTTTCTCTGCTTTTTCTTGTCATCTACTGTATACACCAAGAAAATCACTTAATAATTCAATACAAATATATAATTTTATATTTGATTAAGAAAATTATAATTCAGACTAATAATCCAGATAAATTAATATGCAGTTAATTAAATTTTGTTAATTCCTTAACATAATTTTGAACCTACCCAAATGTGAAATAAGATATATAAAGGGTAGGATGAGTTGGTAAAGCAACGGTTTGCATATCCACAAGCCTCAGGTTCAAAACTTATACCAACCTTCTTATAGTGGGTTGACTCTTAGGGTCGGGTCATAAGTAAATCCGATTTTGAGAGTTGCCGGTCAAAATATATGTATATATAATTCAAAAAAATTGATAGTCGCTATACTAACCCAACTAATCAATCCAATCTAATTTAATTTGTCCAAACCGGGAGACCATAATGTTATAGGGTTAATTATATTAAGATCTCAGTAATTATTAATTACTTCTCATTTATAAACCCGTACATATTGACCCGAAAAATGTTATAAATCCCAAATTTTTTATCAAATAAATGATCAAGTGTCTCACATGGGGGTAACATTTACATTATGCTATAAGTCCCAAATTTTCTACCAAATATAAATGACCAAATATCTTACATGAGTATAAGATTTACATTTTTTGTTGATCACACACTTTTGTGAGACATTTGATTATTCATTTAGTAAAAATTTTTATATCTCTAACATTACCCTATTGACCTTTATGAAAAGAGTATATTACTATCAAACCCAAAAATTAAATTCACTTTTCAAACCCAGTGATACACCAACTAATTAGAATATCAAATGTAACAAACGCTTATATTTTCTTTAATTATCAATTGATCATTTTTCTTATACATTATTATTTTAAAAAGTAGATTTGTATATAATTTTTTTAAATGAAAACATATAAATATACTAATTTAAAAGTGAAAATAATATATTTTTATAATTAAAAAAAATGAAAATACATAAGTATAAATTATAAGATAAAATAATATTTATTAATAATTAAGGAGCGTCGGTGAAATAACCTCAATATTATATTAGGGTGGCGGTTTAAAAGCGTAAAGCCAATAAAGTAATCTAGTTTTAGCCTCCATTTTAGAAAAGGATCTAGAAGAAAAATGATTTGGACTTCCATTTTAGAAAAGGATCTAGTATTGTTGGCGTGGCGGGTCTGATTTTGAATCTATCTCAATAATCTAAATTGTTTAATATATACAGCTCATCGAATATATCACTCTTGCACAAAATTACATTAATCAAATATCGATAGACATTTGATCAATTTATATTTGTATTTGTAATTTATTTTTAAAATCAAAATTATCATTGAAACAAATACAAACTGATCAAATGACTATCGATATTTTATTAATATAATTTTTTACAAATATAATATACCGGACAAAATTTACATATTCAACCATTTGAATTATTAAAATATATTCAAAATTGAGCCCATCACGACTCAACAATACGTTTATTTTGATTTTAAACTTGAAGTGGTCTTTAGGAAAGACCCCAAAACTCTTTTTTCTGGGAAGATCTAGTTTGAAGAATTCAATTCTTCCACACAATTAAAATATTAAATAAATAAATAAATAAACAAATTCCACACCCATCATTGAAAAGACCCCAAACTCTTTTTTTTGGGAAGATCTAGTTTGAAGAATTCAATTCTTCAACACAATTAAAATATTAAAAAAAAAACAAATAAATAATTAAACAAACTCCACACCCATCATTAAAAAAAACACCCACCTCTATTTTTTTTTTTCCAGATAGGCCCACATTATAAAAGGCCCTACCAATTTTGAAAAAAAGTTCAAATCTGTAAATTTAAAATGGTAAATTCCGAAAAAAGTTTTCTTTTAATTTTTAAAATAAATTCTAGGGGATATTAACTGTCACTGGAAATTTCAAGAAAATATTTATAAGTTACTGGTAAACTTTACAAATATTAAAATAATAAATAATATTTTTTTGCATTAATTAGTAATTAACTTTTAAGAATTGCACTGACATGTATTTTCCCCTAAATTCTACAACTTTAGTTTTCAGTTTACAAATTTTATTTACTAAATTACTCATAAACGATAAAAAATATATGGGAAAAGAAAGGGGGTGAGAAATAAATAAAGAAATAGGATACCTTTTAGGACATCAATTCTATTTTATAACCAACACAACCAAACATAGTTGGGATTTGGAATTCTATTAATTCTTTCTCCTTTTCCTTTCATTTCCATTTCCCTTTCCATTTCTCTTCCCAAATCCCCCAACCAAACACAGCGTTAAGAATTGCACTGACATGTATTTTCCCCTAAATTCTACAACTTTAGTTTTCAGTTTACAAATTTTATTTACTAAATTACTCATAAACGATTTAATTTCATTATCTAGCTCTCCTAAAACCTTTAAAAAGATTCTCCAAATTTTAGCCATAAAAAAAGAAGAAAAAAAAAATCAAACATAATAGAAAATTAGAACTAATTAATGGAAATGAAAGACAAGAGAGAGAAAGAGAAGAGAGACCCATATGTACCTGAAGAAAGGCAGGACCGAAGAACTTGCTTTGAATCACGATTCCCGGAAAACTGGGTAGTTGGGAAATTCTTTTCCCGGCGAAACGAGAGGAAAATCACGGTGCCGGAGACCGCCATGGCGGTCACCAACACTACCCCAGGCGAGCTCAGAATCGAAGACATGTTTGGTTGAATTCCGATATATAAAAAATAAAAAAAATAAAAAAAAATTGATAATATTTCTTGTAGAGATAGGTGAAAATGAAAAGAAAATGGATATAAATGAGAATTCACCACCGACGAAGAAAATGAAAAAATAAAAATAAAAAAATGACACCGATTATATGGATTGTACAGCTAAATGACAACTACATATATATCCACACACATCAATCATCAATGTATATGAACAACTTGAAGTGCGTTGTAGTTTGATTAAGAGACGACACGTAATATACATTTAGAGAGAGAGAGAGACTTGTACATGTATGTATGCATATTGTTTTTCTAACATGAGAATTAAATAGTAAGGGTAAGAATCTGGACTTCTCTAGTCTCTCTCTCTCTCTCTCTCTCTCTCTCTCTATATATATATATATATATATAAGAATAGATTACATTGACACTCTGAAATTTATGTTTATTACAGTTTTCTCTTTACCTTTTGAAAATTACATTTCCTTCTTAAGGTGTAAAGTTTCATTACAGATTGCTCTCTCCAGCAATATAATTTTTTTAAATACCAATTTTGCCCTCAGTGGGTAAATTACATTGACACCCCTCACATTTTAAAAATTATAATCTCCTCCCCAAGGTTTAAAGTAGCATTACCAATTGCCTCCTCGATTAGTATTAGTTAAAATTCATTAGAAAAAAAATTATTTGAAAAAACAAATTAATTGAAAAAGTTTTGTTAGTCAAATTATAAAATTTCTGTTTAAAAACTAACGTAAACTCTTTTTTTGAATTTACTTTTTTTTTTCTCAAATTTACAAACTGAAACAACCATTTATAAACTAAACAAATTATCAAACAAGTTTTTATAACAGTTGTTAAAATTTTTGTAAATATATATTGAAAACTGAAAACAAAATGGTTACTAAACAGGTCTCAGATGGTAAAAATGTAGTAAAATTAACAAATAATTAAATAAGTTACTCACGTAAGAAATGACTTATCAAAAGATTCTTAGGCTATGTATGGTTTGATTTTTAGAAAAAAAAAATTTAAATTAAAAATTAATTTGGTTAAAAAATAAAAAATAATTATCATTTTTATATAATTTTTATCTTTTGAGTGTAATAAACATAAATCTCAAAGGATGTCAGTGTAATTTTTATCTTAGGTTGGTTTTTAAACAGAAATTTCAAAATTTGACTAACAAAAAAAATTTTCAATTAATTTTCTTTTTCAAATATATATTTTTTCAATTAATTTTTTTTTTCAATTAATTTTTCTTCCAATTTTGTTTTTTCAATAATTTTTTTTTTAACTAATACTAACCGAGGGGCAATTGATAATACTACTTTAAACCTTGGGGAAAGATTGTAATTTCTAAAATGTGATGTGTGTTAATGTAATTTACCCAGTGAGGGCAAAATTGGTATTTAAAAAAATTAAATAGCTAGAGGGAGCAATCTGTAATGAAACTTTAAACCTCAAGAATGGAGATGTAATTTCCAAAATGTGAGGAGAAATTGTAATAAATACAAACCTTAAGGGTGTCAATGTAATTTGCCCTATATGTAAATAATGTTTCAGAGTTTTAATTTGAGAGCTCTAATACAACTCTAATAATGTTGAGAGTACTTATGTGAAGGTGGAAGCCCACACTCCTTTTTCTATCTTTCTCTTCCACCTCACTAAAGCTCCATTTAAAGCTCTCGAATTAGAGTTAGAGTAATACTAGAGATACTTAACTTTCTACCAAATAAATAATCAAATGTCTCACGTGGGCGTGGGGTTCGCAATTTTGTGGACCCTAGACATTTGGTTATTTATTTGGTAGAAAGTTTGGGACCTGTAGCATTTTCCTTAGAGTTATATATCATTACTCTATTGAAAATAAGCCTTGTTACAATTGTCGTTAAAAATAATTTTTTTATAACAATTTTTTCACATATGTTGTTAAAAATTGACAATTAGTAATTTTTTTTATAACGATTTTTATAAATTGTCACTAAAATTTACAATTAGTGGCATTTTTCTGTGACGAATTTTTTAAACTGTCGTTAGAACTTATAATTAATGACATTTTTTGTGACAATTTTTAAACTGTCATTGAAAATTAACAATTAATAATTTTTTAAAATAATATATGATAAAAAAAATATCATTAACTATCATATGATTCCTTGAATAATAAATCGACTTTTAATAGAACCTACCCGTGATTTTTTTTGTTTTTGTTCAATTTTACTGCCTACAATATTATCGAGTTTGTTAATAAGATCTAATCTTAAAAACTCTTCTTTTAACATAGATAAGATATTAAGGTTTAATTTGAAAAGGCTTATCAATTTATATATATTTTCTGTGTTAAATTTTGTTGTAATTTTTTTTTTTTTTTTTAAAAAGGCTTATCAATTTATATATATTTTCTGTGTTAAATTTTGTTGTAATTTTTTTTTTTTTTTAAATTTACTTTTCTAGAAGGAGATTCAATACAGCAATGACTGTTGTGTCTTATTTTGAGGTGTATTCTGGACTTATTTTTATTATCTGAACCGTTCATTTTATAGGATTTGTTGAGTACTTCATGCCTATCAAAAATCATATTAATCGGATATCAATAACTATATGATCAAATTGCATATTTTTATACTATTTTTCAAAAGACAAACATCTTGTTTATTTTTTTGGTTATCAATCATATAGTTATTGATATCCGATTAATATGATTTTTGATAGGCATAAAATACTTAACAAACTCTACAACATGACGGTTCAGATTATAAAAATAAATCTATAATGCACTGCAAAATGAGGCACAACAGTCAGTGACCCAATTCCAATAGGAAATGATGCGTTTTGTATCTATAAATTTATAAATACGGAATTAATTAAATAAAGTAATTTTAGAGTTGTACAAATCAAATGGGGTTTCGTCATAAAAACAAATAGTTTCCCTTAAATTGCTTGGGCTCGTCCTGAGCTTAGTTTAATAAGAAAATTATATATAAGTCTACCTTTTAAATTTCTTTTTAAATTTAATAATAAGTAAGAAATGTTTGACTAATAATTAGAGAATTTATGAGATTGAAAATTATTTTATATATCTTAATTAATTGTCATATCATTAAATTTAAAAAATAAATCTAATTTTTAAATTTTAATATCAATGTTAATTTCAATAATATAAATTGTTTGGAAAATGCTATAGATCTTAAATAATTTATTAAATTTTCTACCAAATCTTTTACATAGATGTGAGACCCACACACATATATATTTATATGAATTCCACACACATATAAAAAATTTAATAAATTATTTAAAATCCCTAGTATAACTCAAATTGTTTGTTTGCATAGGGTTCATTTGGGGAGTGGGTTAGCTTTTTGGCTATTTCAACTTGAAGCTAAAAAGTCTCGTTTGAGAAGAGTTTTTTAATTTTTTGTGAGAAAAAAAATATAATGATTATAAGTTAGATGTAATATTTTGTCATATTAAATTAAAAAGTCTATTTTATTTTATTTTATTTTATTTTGACTAAAATAACCCTAACCCTGCTTCACAAACGAAGCCAGAACCTATCCAGCATGTCACTCATAATAAAAGATTACAAATAAAAAAAGCATTTGTTCTGGCTTTTGAGAGAGAGAGAGAGAGAGAGAGAGAGACCTAGGTTGGGAGTCAGCTTCTTTATGAATCAATGGTGGATAATTAATATTGGTCAAATTGGGAGTCCAGAAGTGTTTTTGATTTTTTGGATGTGTATCATTTGACTGTCTCTCTCTTGACTACTACGTGTGTGATCATTAGAAGACGTAGGGTTCATGGTTTCTTCCTCTTTCAAACATTTTTCTCAAGTCATGATAATAATTGTAATGTTATAATTTTTTTAAGAGAATTTTTATAGTACATGAATGCTGTGACTTTATATTAGAATGATTTGTAGATTTATTTTTATTTTAGTATTTTTTTAACTTTTGTTTTCTAGTTCCACATGGTCTTAAAACAATTTTAAAAAATTCAGTGAAATCAAAAAAGAAAAGTCAATTTTTATCATGATTTCATTAAAATTTGACTCATTTTATTTTTAAGTTTTTTTTCCCTCAAAATTCTTTGAACTATTCAATTTTCATGATTGTCTAATTTAGACAAATCATAAAATTATAAAAATTTAACATAATTTAAAAAAAATCATTTGGTTAACAATAATTTGATGCCGGCAATTAGGATATAAAATTATTTTATCACTTCAGTTTACTTTCTATTTATATTCATGTAATAAAATTCATCTGTTTGTCTAAGATTTATCATTATATTTCAAAAATAAAAGTGTACATATATTATAACATCACATGACAAATATTTTGATAATATATAGCAGCTTTTTTAATTAAAATACACACAATTATGAAGCATGAGATTTTTTTTAGGGTTCCTGATATTAAGATTGTTAGGTTTTTATTCTTGACAATCCCGTTTGACAAAACTCCTTTGAGTTGTAATTTTGTTCGCATTTTTATTTCAGTTAGGCTATGAGTGTTTAGATGCGAATCCAACCCGAATTGTGCCTTACAGAGAAGTTTGTGATGTTAATACTTTCAAGATTGCCACTTCGCTGATTATGACGAGGATCGAGTTGCCCGGTCAGCTCGCGAGAGTCCAGGGGGCAGCGCCCAGGCGGGGTCGAGGGGCAGCGCCCCCGAAGCAAAATGCAAAATTGCATTCAAAGTTGCATGTCCGCCCTTGCTCGCTTGAGCGAAGACTGCGTCTGGCAAAAAAACCTGAAAGAGATGAATGTGCGCTCGAGCGAAGGGTGCGTGGCTCGAGCGAAGCTACTTATGGAAAACACGCATTTTTCGTTACTCACTCGAGCGAGAGAGTCTTCGCTCGAGCGAGCTTCGCGATTCAGATTTCTATAAGTACGGGTTTCTGTTAGATTTTAGGATTACTTCTCCAGATTTTCTTCTTGGGTTCTAGGGTTTATATCTGGGGATATTTTGCTAGTTTTCTTTGATGTTTTGATTGAGTATTCAACTCATGGTTTAAAGAGTATACATCAAAGGATTATTTGTTTATTCTACACAAAAGAGAGAGTTGATCTTCGGTGGATTCTGAAGAATTCGAGCCTGAAGCTTTGATGGATTCCGGAGTGGCTCATCGTCAAGACAATTCCGAGGTGATGACGGGGTTGGAAGAAGCACATAGAGGTTGGTTCAATTCGGGCGTGGATTCGCTAGGTAATTGAGAGTATATCTGTGTAATTCCTTTATATCTTCTTAGTAGATTATTTTGTGGCTGATGCCCGTAGTTTTTTTATCACAATTGGAGGTGTCCAATTGTGATTTTTTCACGTAAAATCGTTGTGTCGATTTGTCTTGATTGTTTTATTGGGATTGTTGTTTACTGTTTAAAATTGATACATAATCACAAATCAACATCTAGCGGATTTCTAGATTTTTCAAAGATTTTATAGCATAAAGGACATCTAATATTTTCATAATGTTTAAGATCCTTCAATATCAATCCAGAGAAATTTCAATCCCAAAAAAATTCTCTGGACTTCCTAGAGAAATTCTTTTCAAAGAAATTCTGGACTTCCCAAAGAATTTCACTAGGTTTAAACCAGAGAAAATTGAAATTTCTCTGAGTTCAAACCAGAGAAAATTTCTTTGCCATGTTGATCTTCTTTGGTCATCACATACTTGCATGTACAGAGAAAATTATAAACTACAAATAAAAATTCAGAGAAAATTACAAACTTATAAACATGTTAAACACACAGAAAATTGCTAGCTATTCCACAAAAACACAGAAAATCATATTTGAACACAATTCCAATTAATTTTTCAATCCATACATCTAATCCAGAGAAAAATCACAAATAAAAATTTAAACCACAGAGAAATTTGAATCATAGATAAAGTTATGGCTTTCGTATACAGAGAGAGAGAGAGAGAGAGAGTATTATTAAAGAGAGATGAGAGAAATTTCGACTATCCAAAGAGAAATTTCGACTTCACAAAAAATTTCAATCACAGAGAAATTTGAACCACAAACAAATTTATAATTTTCACACACAAAGAGAACAAGAGAGATAATAGATTATTAAAGACAGATGAGAGAAATGTGGTCTAAAGACCCTTCGATTTGTTTTTCATTTTTGAGTTAGCAAATTTTTTTACTTTGGTTTTGGATTTCGGCTTGATCTACTCAAATTGAATCGGTGCCTCTTTGGATTTAGTTATGATCTTGCCGAAAAAGTGTACTGTTGATTAGATTCTTAGATTTCGATCGTCTCAAGCATTCACATAGTTTGAAATTCGAAGCAAAGAGTTGTTGCCTCTCTGGATTTAGTCGTGATCTCACTGAAAAAATGCATTGTTGATTAGATTCTTAGATTTCGATCGTCTTCGACATTTACAAGGTTTGAAATACGAAGCAAAGATAGTGAATTCTATGGTAAAAAAAGCCACTAGCGATATGTTCATTAGTCCAGATTGGGCCATGAACATCAAGATGAGAGAGAGAGTTGTCTAGGTTAGTGGTGAGGGACCTTAACTAATAAAATATATATATATATATATATATTAGATCTCTTTTATTACTCAAAATTAGTGATCTTGCACTAATTTTTTCTATTTTTTATATATACCCCTATCATGACATTATGAAGAATATTATATTTAAAAACATTTTCCTCATTATAATATTCTTTTTCCTGAGTTTAACAAATTAATTTTTTTAATAAATAGAGAAAACTCTAAATAGTGTATATTGGGAGGTTGCCACACGTGGAAGTTTAGTGGCGGATAGCTGACTGACGCGTGGTACTTTGGACCTTTAACACTTGTGAGAATGGTAACCCCTATCGGTATAGCTAATCGTAGTGCACCACGCGTCTTGCAACTCCGTTTCTACACGTGACTTGGTTAGAAAGATGGATTACGAAAGGATAGAAAAGGAATCTAAATTGTTGAATAATAATATATAGTTACAAAAATATTAGAGGTCTCAAAAATTTTACTAAAAATTTTATCAAATGTCTCACATGGGTGTGAGACTCACATGGAACCCACATTGTATGTGGGTCCCACACTCATGTGAGACATTTGATAAAACTTTTGATAGAATATTTGGGGTCTCTAGCATTACTCTATATAGTTATATTTGATTCATAAGATTAATAGTGAAGTATTAATGATCCTATTAAATTAGTGTGATATTCATTATTCAATTGGATTAATATCTATTGGATTAATAATTGTACTCTTATCCCATTACTAATAATCCTACAAATTTGTTGAATTAATTATCCATTGGATTAATAATTCTAAACCAAAATGTTAAAACAAATATAGGATAATTGGACCCATGGATTAATAATCTCAATCCTATACTCTAATCTACCCAATCAAACATGCCCTATGTATTCATCTATTTACCAATTGATGATGCGACATAAATTAAGAAATTTTTAAAATTTGTAATATAATTAATGAGTGGGGTCAATAATAATATCATAACTAGTATTGATACACTAATTGGTGTATGTAATACCACCATAAATTGTTGGTTGAATTACATTGTGTTTGATTGGAAAATTTGAGAAGAGGTTTAAAAATAAAAAGAAAAATATATATAAAATTAAGTAAAATATAAATATATTTTATTCATATTTCATCTAGTTTTTCCCTTTCTTTTTCAAATCATTTTTCAAATTCTTCAATCAAACACAACGTAAGAGATAAATTTTTGGAGAATTAACAGGTCAATGTACATTTATAAAAATAATTCTAAATTAATGATAAATTTTATAAATGTTAAAAATTAAAATCATATTTTTCTATGAGTTAGTAATTATTTTTGGGAGGGAGGAAAACACTACCTTGTATATTCTCCTAGACTTTTCTAAGTCGGTATTTGGGGGTTTTTTTTAATTTTCAATTTTTTTTTTTATATTTTTAGATTTTACTCAACGGGATGATTTGAATTTTTTTATTTATATATAAAATCTTATAAAAATAATATGATAATGTCATTATTATAAATAAACTCATCTTCAATGTTATTTTATTTTGAAGTGAAAGATTTATAATTAACCAAATTATTATGTATAATTTTTTTTTGTTTGTATAATATTATTCATTGAAAAATTAAAAAAAGAAAAAATTTCAAAAAAATCTAGAAAAGATAAAAATAAGCAAAAAAATAGTAGATTTTCTGGGTTTATTTTGAATATTTAAAAAAAATTTAATAAACTTTGAAACAATTTACTTTTTAGATTTGTATATATGAGACAGGCTAAAAAAGTGAGAAAAAAAAATTGATATACTGTTAAAAACTATTTTTTAAAATATATGTTTGGGAAGTGGGATTTTAGAGCATCTCCAACCCACTAGATATATAATGCTTGTTAGTTAAAATGCCTAATATAACTCATTTTTTTCAACTTCAATGCACTAGGCATATAATTAGACATTTTAGCTCAACTCATATTTACTAGCTACATGTAGTTAGCCTTCAAGGTTAGGTAAAATGAATTTAATCATTAGGATCATTTCCCTCCATTTTTGTTGCTAATGTGGCATTTTCTAAAATTAATAGTATTTAGATAAATAGCTAAAATAAAGAGCATGGGTGGAGTAGAAATATGAAATAGTTGATAGGTAAAATAAAATATATATTTTATAGTAATATTTAGATAGGTAAAATGCCTATTACTGTTGGAGATGCTCTTAGCCTAATTTAGGTTAAAATTCACAAAAAGACAAAATAAGCTAAAATAACTAATAAGACAAAATGTCATATCAAACCTATAATCATTTTATTTTTTCTCTCATAAACATCATATCCAATTGCAAAATATAATCATCTTCCCAAATATAAAAATTTTAACCTACTAAAATAATTTCCCAAACACCCACATAATTTGGTAAATATATATATATATATAAACAATTATTATACACGAGATAGGCTAAAAATGTAAAATAAAAATATGGTATACTGTTAAAAATATTTTTAAAATATTGTTTGGTAAAAAAATATATATATGAAAACAATTATTATTTTCATATAGTTTTTCGTTTTTGGAACTAAAATAAATATGTCTTTTTTATGTTTATTTTTGTCATATTAATTTATTTTTAAAAAAAATCACAAAATCAACTAAACAATTATTTTGTTTTGTTTGTTTAATGTTAGGTTCCTATGAAAACCTTTATAGGACCATTATGCTATGTTTGAAGTTTAAAGTTTGTATTTATTAAAAAAAAAATATTAAAACAAAAAGTGAAAAGGACGAAAACTAATAGAGTTAAATTTCCTTTAAAAATAAAGAAAAATTGATAGATATTTTTCAAAAAAATCATTTTTCTATTTAGTTAATCATAAAAAAACCAATAAGAAGTATTTTCATTTCTTTTTCTTCTTTCTTTTCCTCGTCAAATTATATATCTACAAAAAGCTCCTTTTTTTTTTAGATGATTCTAAAAAAAAAAAAAGCATCATTGTTGCCGTTTTTAAATTCATCTCGTGTTTTTCTTCAGTGAATTTTTCATTTTTTTATTGTAAATTATGTCCTTTTTTATTATTTTTTATTTCAGTCTTGACTAGGTTATTTTAAAATTAAAAAAATATGTTCAGATATAGCAATCAAAGGTTGAGATTCAGCCACACATGTAGAGTCTTAACTCTTGCATCAAACGGCATTGTTTTGTATTAACGGAGGATCACAAACTAACGTTGAGGGCTTTTCATCGTCATCTTCTGGTGAGACTTCTCATCTTCACGCTCAAAAGCAATAGGTGATTTTTTTCACGCTAAAAAACGATAGTGATTGTTTTTCTAGAAATTTTCTCTCCTCACCAAAAATCTTCATTCGTAAAAAATGAGTAGATGAATCAATGTGTACGGAAGCTTTTGAACCTCCATGGATGAGAGATTTGTTGGGACCAAACAGGTGATTTGTATGCTCTGTCTCTCAATAGCTAGTGTTATAGGAGTTTATAAGTTCATAATATACATACACAAACACATATATATAGGGATATATATTGTATATCTGTGGCTTCTTTTTTTTTCTTTACTAGATGTTCACATGGTTTATATAACTTTTGTGAATGTACCTATATACAATAACTTCTATACTTCTGGGACTAATTTATAATTTTTCCAATCAACTTGATAGGTGTAACTTTTTATTTAGAAAATATCATAGGTATTTATGTTCTCAATTATGTGTTCACTAGAAACTATATAAAAAGAACGTGGTAAGGTTATATTACTGTGAATGATTTCATAATATAATTTATTTTGTTGTTGAAAATTAAAATAGGGATGCCAATCCAAACCTCAATATACCAGATTACAAACCCCGAAGAGGTTTGGAGTTTGATTCATTGGATGATGCAAAAAAATTTTACAATGAGTTCGAAAGGATTACTGGTTTCAGTGTTCGAATTGAATACTCTAACACATGCAAAAAAACAGAGAGGATCACTTCTAGGAGGTTTGTTTGTCCGAAAGAAGGGTTCCAACGTGAAGACAATAGGGATATCAAAACTAAAAAGCCACGTCAAGAGACAAGAATTGGTTGCAAGGCCCTTATGACAGTTGTATTGAATAAAAAGAGCCAAAAATATGAGGTTACTGATTTTTTTGATGATCACAATCACCCACTTCATATTCAAGAATGTGTCCATTTGATGCCTTCGCAACGAAAAATTACAAAAGCTCAAGCAATTGAAGCTGATTTGGCAGAGGCCTCTGGGATTAGATTACGATCATCGTTTGAGCTTGCATTTCGGCAAACAGAGGGAAGGGAATGTCTTGGTTTTACTCGCCAAGATTTGAAAAACTATCTTTGGACCAAACGACAACGGGACTTGAAGTTTGGGGAAGCTGGAAGTTTATTGGCGTATTTCGCGGACAAATCAATGAAAGATTCTTCATTTCACTTTAATATGCAATTAGATGTTGAAGAACAAATTACTAACATCTTTTGGGCTGATCCGAAAATGATAATTGACTATAGTGTGTTTGGGGATTTTGTTAGTTTTGACACAACATATAGAACCTGTAAGGATTATCGTTTGTTAGCAGTTTTTTGGGGGTTTAACAATTATAGATAATGTGTTATATTTGGAGTTGCACTTCTTTATGATGAAACTGCTACCTCGTTTGAATGGTTAAAGAGTGTTATATTTGGGGCTGCACTTCTCTATGATGAAACTGTTGCCTCGTTTGAATGGTCATTTAGGAGTTTCTTGGATTCTATGTCGGGAAAGAAACCGAAAACATTTTTCACCGATCAAGACCCTGCTATGGCAAAGGCTATTTCGTTGGTTATGCCTGGCACATTCCATAGAAAATATTATATGATATTTTCAATAAATTTGATAAAAATTGTAACTTTTATTTAGAAAATATTATAGACAAAAATGATTTGTTTTTGTGTTTTGGGTTTAGAGTTCACTGATTATAATTTGTTTTGCAGGTTTGGGGGAATCTCTGCCTATGGTAAACCATGGAAAAGGTTCCTAGTGAACAATTTTGAGCACAAAGAGGATTTTGACAAGGGACTGTTGAGAGGCACCAGTTGGAGTGTATATATAACTAATAATTAAAGCATTTTTTTCTTTTCTAAAGGGCAAGGTAGTGGTTCATTCCAAGGAATACAACCAGTAGTTTTTTTAACCCAAAAAGGATTGACATGTACTAGAGAAGAAACACCAATTGGACATATATCTAACATAGAAAAAAGAATTAAAAGCACAAGGATAGTGGGGTGCATAACAAACTCTGACAACATAGCAACATATCTGAAGGAAACAAATCAATCAGTTAGAAGTGCAAAAACTACTCTACATGCCAATTAATAAAGCACATACCCATACTGTTTATTTATCAACATCCTACAGGAATTTCATCAACAACTACAGAAGAGAGTGATTATCAAGAAATATCAACTTTGTCGGTCCAGAAGCATTTCCTTTATAAACTTCCTTGCTGATTGAATGCTCCAATATTTTCTTTGCCCAATCTAGCAGACCTTTCTCCAAAGCACTATATACACACTTCCTTATTCGGGCTCCCACATTTGTGGGCAACTTTCTAACAAGTTCCAACAATTGTACCCACTCTGGAATATTAGCATAGCTTTCACAAGCACTAGTTGCACCAGATCCCCCATCATCTATACTCAGCATATCATTCTCTCTGTTCAAAGAACCAAAAATTTTCTTCCCAGCCTGTGCAAGCAACTGAACAAAAACCAAGTCAAAGCATCAGTAAGAATTTCCCCCATAATTTCATTCTCTTTAATGACTAAAAATAGTGAAAAAGAGATTCAAAGATTGTATAAATTATAAATCTCATCCAAAAGTTGTAGCTTATAATTTTTATGCAAGAAGGGTAACAAAATCCATATAACTGTTATAGAAAAGAAACATGGGTCTAACTGTACAACTGAAGGCATCAGAAATATAAGAATCATTTCAGATTCAGTCCTTTATACAGGAAGCACAAAAGAAAAATATTGGAAACCAGAACAGCATATAAATATTTTTGCAGAAAAAGGAACAGCTATAAACCAAGATTGCAAAATTGGAGATAAACAAAATATCTAGATTAAAAAAAATACAAACACAAAAAGAAGTAGAAAGTTCAAAATGTAGAACAACTACATGGAAAATGATACATTTTTTAAAATTCATTGCAAATTATCTTATAAGCAAAGCTTAAATAAAAAATATACAACCAATCCCAAGCGCATCATTGTAGATGGACAACCAACATAAACACGGAAGTTGATTGATGGGCTGAAATTGGGAACAGAAAATTAGTATCATTCAAGACTTCTGTCATTAAAATCGCATTTGATATAAATTTTGCAATTCATGATCAGGATTTAAGAATTGAATTCAGCTAAACTTGTTTAGTGGCAAGTCAAATCTGTACGCCTAAAAGTACAAACCATTGGTAAGTGACAATTATTTCTGAAGTGTTGCCTTGCTTATCAAATAAAGGCACTGCTTGGTGCAATGGTAAAAGTTCACGCTGCCAAAAGGGAAAATGTTGAATCAAGTCAAAATGCAGCCACTTTGTGCATATAATACAAAGGTTATATCTATATCTAGTTTTGAAATTCAATTATGTGAATAACAGTTCTAAAACAGAGGACAAATTGTAAATGAAATTGGAGAGGCACCAGGATTTTTTTTTTTTTTTTATATATATAAAATATATACAATGTTGTGCTTGTTCAACTATGTTAATGAAAAAGCAGAGTACATATGGTTTTTTTTTTCTCCCTTTTTTGATGGTGGCCATGAGTTCAAAAACCAATTACAAAGCAAAATTTGTTTCAGCAGTAACAACTTAAAAAAGGAAGTTAGGCATCTCCTCCATCCATACACAATTACAAAGTGTTATTATCTCCAATTTTGCAGAAATATTGTTGCTGGTATTTACTTACAAAAATAATTCTTTGCTATCAACAACCTTCCCCATAATCAACATCAAAAGCACATGAAAAGCATAACCAAGAACAAAAGACCACTGTAAATAACACGCATGTTGTTGTCTAAGATCTCAAAAAAGGCCATTATCAAAAAATTCTTTTACAAAAATTGTCTAAACTAGTTTCACTGAAGTCCGATGAATTTACTATATTGTGCGCTTGAGGATCCTTTAGAATCTTCAATTGAAGGACAAAGTAAGGACTCCTACATCAAAAAAGAAAGTAATGTGTCAGAAAACAAATCAAAACTATGCAGTCTTGACACGAATAATATAAGTTGTATAAAACCAAATAATTAAACTTCAGTAGAACTCATTTTCACCTGTAACAAATGAGTGAATGAAAGATGGTTCCAAGCTTGAGGTGTTTCTGGGATCATCCATGACATGGAATTGGGCATCTCAACACCCTGTGGATAGAGAGGACTTTGATCCATGTTCTTATCTTCGAACGCAGGCACATAAAGAGGCATATTATCCTATATTATGATCTCATCTTTTACATCAATAAGAAGTGTATGATTAAGAAAGAAAACATTTATAAACAGAAAATAACCTTCAACCT